ATTGCTCAAACCCACACTTAAACTTATCTCCTTAAGCAAAGTCTGTTGGACCTGATATGTCGTTGGGCAAACGATGCCGATGCGGGCCAAGCCGCTATGGCCGGAAATTCACAAATCTATCAGCTTCTCAAAGAAGCCTGCCCCAATATTGGGCCGCAGCCCCAAGTTCCGCGGTGCTGCGGAATGTTCCGATGGCCAACTTCTCAAGGTGAGGGAGAGCAGGCAGTTTAAGTGTTTTCGGCTCGGATTGAAGGCCAAAGAGGGTTTGGGTCCAAGGATGGCAACATTTTCTCGACAAGACAACTCCTGGTTCTTCTTCAATTCGGAGGTTCCTGAACAAATCGGCCATCCACGGAAGGGTTCCTCACAAAAAGGGTCCCTTACGAGAATAAGAGCCGGTCTTCATTGGAGTCATGTGATAATAGGGGGGTCTGTAAAATAAGGGATCCTCACAATCAGGATTCAATCATGAAGGTGCCATAGTGATGTCCCTGATGTTCCTTCCTCGCGGGTCTTACCTGGCCCCGCAAGACTTTGCGAGAAGCCTGAGATGCAGAATGCCATTCTTGGCCTGCTTCCTGCCTGCTTCTCCCATATACTTCGTCGAAGCCTCAAGCCTGCCTAGAGGTTGAGGGATCAACAAGGGAGAGGACGATGCTTTCACTCTGACGCACGTGCAGCGCCCACCTTGGAGTCCGAAAATCAGTGTGGGGAGCTATCGGTTTCTGAGCTTCCGGGTTTGGGTTGAGGTGTCGTGCAACGGCCCATGGCATGGTTGATGCAAGCACTGCACACCTCGCATACTCAATCCAAGCGGAAGAGGACTCTGTAGGCTCGCCAAGGTGGTGGCGATCGAGGGCTTGACGCATCTGCACATTGTCGTACTCCTGCCGTGCCGCTCCTTTTTAGGAAGCAATCTCGGCAGAAAGAACTTCCCACACAAAGCTGTCACCGGCGAAGTTCTTGTTTTCCGGTCCGCTTTCCGGATTACGAACAAACAGTGAATTCCTTACGCGACATATGTGGCCTACAAAACTTTATGTGACCCTACATAAAATGGCAATTAAGGCCGTGGCGGCATCTCTAGATTGCCCGAAGTTTGTTGGTGGCACGGCACTGCACGAGCGGCTTCCAGCTCACCCGGTCATAGCTCACAAGGGTGGCGATCGAGGGCCTGATGCGTCGGCGCACTGTCGAAACCCTGGGTGCAACCAACTTCGTCTGTCGTGCCGCTCCTTTTTAGGAAGCAAGCTCGGCATAATAAAATTTGCACACGAATCCGTCACCAGCAGAGGGATCTTGTTCTCCGGTCCGCGTCCGGATGACCAGCAAACATTGAAATCCTTATGTGACTTATATGTGGCCTACAAAAAAGAGCAAAGACAAATTTGGTGAGATCTTTATGTGATCCTACATAAAATCGCAATTAAGGCCGTGGCGGCATCTCTAGATTGCCCGAAGTTTGTTGGTGGCACTGCACGAGCGGTTTCCAGCTCACCTGGTCATAGCCCAGAGTCGAGGCTGTGGGTTTCCTGGGTGGGATCTTTATGTTCATGTGCCGTAGTGAGGTCGGAGTTTTGTCGATGCTGCACTGCAGGTCCTCAAGACTTCCGAATGTTCGAGGCCTGCGAGAGATGCTTCATTCTGCAAGTGCTGGACCTCTTGGGCATGAAGGGCTGCCCTGGGATGCGCGGGGTCATGTCACGAAATCGTCGCGCGGCCGAAAGGCAAGCCTGAATTGCAGAAGGCCTCAGTGAGGATTGCAGCTGTCATCTGCCGGTGGTCCAGCTAGCCTGCTCTGCAGGTGAAGCCAGCCGTGACACGATCACGTGGCTCACACGAGCCCGCCTCCGCAAGCACTCACTGCGCCAGCAAGCCGAGAAGCACCTGCACCACAAATGACACTCTCAACCACGGTGCTCCTGTCGAAATTAAGGTTTCCAGCAACCTCAGGCAGGCGCTGGTGCTTCTGGTGCAAGGTCCAAAGCTCTGGGTCGGGAGATCGAGGGCATGGGAATCCCAAGCCCCGTCAATTCAAAAGGGACTTACATTTCTTATGGCTTCGTCAAGGTCGCATGCGATAGCCCAGGCCCGCGCTCCCCCTTCCACGCAGTCGTGAAGGTCTCCTGGACCTCGCTGGTTTTGTGGCGTGCATGCAGGCACTTCGCACCTTCATCTTCATACCCAAGGCTGCCTGGGACACTGTGTGGTGTTGCCCAGATTTCGGGAGCCGAGTCTTGGTTCGGAGATCGAGAGCGATCCTCAAGACTCGACACCTAGCTTCCACGTCAAGGTTCGGGCGCGACGGCCGATGCCCAAGCGTCTCACGATCCCGCTTGTCTCGGAGCCTATAACCTCCGTGTATTCTGTGCAGTGGATGCAAGCACTCCGCACCTTATTGCTGCTCCCGAGGACCCTTGGCAGGGCAGCCGAGACGTCACTATCCGAGTCTTGACGGCCGAGGCGGAGATCTGCTGCAGTAGAAACGGCAGCACTTCGTCCGCTTCGTGCATGGAAGCTGAGGGGATCGCCCTGTCACGCTTTGCTGCTCCGGCTCAACGAAAGTCTCCTCCACGCCAGCACCTGCGTTGGCCCGAGCATGCAGGAGACCTCACGAAAGGCCTGCAGTTGAAAGCATGCCTCTCCATGTGCTGCCCCAGGTACCCGATGGTTGTTGCAACCGCAAATGTCATCTGCCAGCGCTGCGTCTAGCCTGCTCCGCAGGTGAGGCCAGCAGCGACACGATCACACGGGTCACACGAGCCCGCCACCGCAAGCGTTCAGTGCGCAAGTAAGCAGCCAATGGCGATAGTCTGCCAGGCTTCTGCAGGAACCACACGATCCTTAGCACCCTTCAGGTTGCAATGCAAGCGGATGTAGGCCTTTCTAGGCCGACTGGAACCCGGAGTCGCGAGCACCATCCCTTCATGCATCCGGCCTAAAGCCCTGAAGCGGCACTGTGCGGTGGAGGAAGGTGCAGAGCCCCAAGGCGATTCCGTATTCGGGCACGAGAGCGGCAGAAAAGCCGTTGGTGGAAGCAAGATCAGGCGGACGAAGACGAAAGTAGGTCTGGAATGACTTGAAGCTGGGGCAAGCCGCGCCGGCAAATTAGGCGGCAGCACCCGAAGACCGTCACGGACAAGCACGGTGTCATTTCACTCATGTGAAGCGTATAGCATACCTAAGGTGCTTGCGCAAAGAGCTTCAGCCGACCAAGGGCCCTGTGCAATGCCATGACTCAATGCCCAAGCGGCACGCTGCCGAGGTTTCCACCTGGAGCACGGCTTCAGGTGGATTGCGCAATTTGCAAGTGCTCACGGCCCGTGACATGACAGGTCTTCTTGGTTGCTCTGGTCGTTTGACGGCCGGAAGGTCAACAGACGTATAGTCAAAAGGCCGGCCGCAGTTGCTTCCCGAGTAAGAAAAACCGTCACTTTGTACGTAGCCGTCGTAGCCGCCAACCTCACCTCAAACCGAGTAGTGAACCCTAAACCTTAAACCTATAGACCGGAAAGCCCAAGCACCGGTTTACTGATCCATCGAGGTTCCCCCAAACGTTACAGAAAGGGATGAACCATCGCAGCCATCCCGGCACTCACCTAGGCAAGAGAAGCTTTCGTTCTGAATAGCGTAAGGCTCGTGTCGGGGTTTCAAACTTAGCTGAAATGTACTGAAATGTACTACCTGCACCTACCTGCGTCTGTAGCATGTGTAGGTTGCAAAAATCAGCGAAGGTTCGAGGAAATGGTTGCCTTGCTGTACTTTCCATGAATTGTCGACCCACCTGACTGCCTCAAGACCCTCTGCGTGCATGAACTCATTCTGTATTACTACTCCACTGCATGCGTGCGCGCCAACCTGCGTGCACAGCCACTGCCTGCAATTGCATACCCACTTCCAGCTGAAGACTGTGCCTGTGCGACAACACAGATATCCATATATAAATATATATACCTGCAACCGCCCACGCCTGTAAATAAAGCGTCGTTCATCCATAACTGGTTATTATGATCATATATAATAATAACCTGGTTTTCAAAACCCTACGCCCGTATATTAGGATTTGGCTATTGAGTGGTCCAACACCCGCCAAAGCCTGCTTTGAATAGGATAAGACATAGGCAGTTCAGGTATAAGAGGGGTTCAGTGGATGCGAAAGCCTGCATGATTCAGCACGCTTCGGCTTGCAACTGTCGTAAGTGATTCTAAGCATGCGGTCGTTTTCATAAGAGCTTGTAGCACGAATCAGGTGAAACTCAGTGACACTTGCAAGCCCTGTTTGTAATGAGTATAGGCCAGGATAACTTTCGTTGATCTTGCAAATCACGTAAATCTCGATAGGTTTTCTGTCTGTGCTCGGATTCACATGTGCCTTCTTCGACTACCCTGACGGCACATCGTCTTTGCTCATCGTCCCTGAGGCGGGTCGACCTTTAGACTGGAGTGCTGATACGAATGTGTGATAGCATTCCAATGATTTCTGTGGGATGAGGGATTGGGCTGATGAGGGAGGAAGGTATGCGAGGGGTGGGGTTGAAGCAAAATCTCGCTCGTCTGGTGCTGGGAAGCCAGACAACAGCTAGACCTAAACATTTCCCAAGAATGCTGAACGAGAAACCCTAAACCCTCTAACTTTGTACGAGCCGTCTTGACCCTGCATGGTGCCGTCTGTACCCTAAACCCTTCTTAAATCAGCTTTCCACAGGGCCGGCGATTGGTCAGCGGCCACCGATCACTGACTTCGACCTTGAGAAGGCGGCAGTGTTCTATTCAGGACTTCAAACCTTTTCTGCAGGGCCGATTTTAGGGAACATTTTACACAGGTCGTACTCATGCATGCTAGTTCACACAATGCCTGCATGAGTATAACATACGAGCAGAGTTTCATCTTCATGTGCAGGTATACATATGCATGCAGGACACTATCTTCGATTGGGGAAACCTCATGCAGCCATTTCGGCTGTCGTGATTTGTGGTGATATTTCGATCGATAGGGTGCCATGGTGAAACGTGTGGCTGATCTGACGACGCTTGCAGAGAAACTGGAAGCGATCCGGTGCTTGCGGAGTCAGGCAGCAAAGGGGCAATGTTTGATGAAGTCGACCGTGATGGGCTGTCTTCAGTGCTTGGGAAACCTGAAGGATTGCTCGGAAAATCACTTGGTTTTGAGAACGGTGCTTGATCTTATGCGGTGCTCACGCACCATCGATAGCCCCTCAGTGGATGTCATCATCCCATGTTGCACTACTTTCTTTGAGCTGTCGAATGACAAAGACATGATTCCAGCAATGGCTGTGAGAGATGCTTGGGGAATCAAGCGGAGTCTCACAACACTGCGAAGAAAGTGGGTGAGGTCTGAGAAGCCCAAGGACTCTATTGCTCAAGTGTTTCAGTGCAGCACAAAACCGCGCAAACCCAACGAAATACTCATGTACAATCGTTCGCAGGACCCCAAGGTTCGAGAGCTCGTGGACATGTATGACAGGATCGTCGAGGAGGCTTTGGCCGCTTCTTGGTATGCATGAAAGACTGAGGGGATCATGTCGTTCTCAAGTGGTGTAGTTTTGGCAATTTGTGACAATTGGTTGGTTGATCTTCTGTCCTAGATGAGATAAGGAAGGAATCAGGATTCCTCGCCGTACGAGCAGTGACGACGATGTGGGAGGCCACGATGGAGGAGCACCCCCCCCACCTGGTGGTGCAGGGGCCGCTGCTGATCCAGTGGGTGCTGCTGTTGCAGTGCATGATGATTCAGGGATTGCGGCTGCGGCAGATGAATATGAGTTCGAAGATGCTGAATCAGAGGATGATCTCGAAGCTGATGCTCTAGAGCATGTTCGTGCAGAGCCAGGCAGTGCGATTGCATCTGGGGCCCCAGAGAATCCGATTGTTGAGCCCAGTGGTGTGGCTTCCGAGTCCACAGAGAATCCGATTGTTGAGCCCAGTGGTGTGCCTTCCGGGTCCACAGAGAATCCGGTTGTTGAGCCCAGTGGTGTGCCTTCCGGGTCCACAGAGAATCCGGTTGTTGAGCCCAGTGGTGTGCCTTCCGGGTCCGTAGAGAAGTCGGTTGTTGAGCCCAGTGGTGTGCCTTCCGGGTCCACAGAGAATCAGAGTGTTGAGCCCAGTGGTGACAGCAGAGCCGAGTTTCTTCAGCTTCTCGAGAATTGCCGTGTTGATTCTTCCCAGTCAACCGATGGTTCCTATATCGAGCTCAGTGGTGCGCACAGTTCTGGGTCTACAGAGAATCCAAGTGTTGAGCCCAGTTTGCTCAGATGCGACTCGTCACAGGGAATGTTGGAGACCTTGATCAAGGAGATGGAAGATGAGGGCGGGGTCACCGGGGCCTCTGTTGCCAGTGCTTCCAGTTCCATGGAGGTTCCACCGCAGGACCCTTCCGAGAAAGTGAAGCAGATCCTAGCCCTCAGCAAAGCCAAGCTTCAGGCTCGAGTAGTGCCCCTTTGCTGCATTGATCATGTGTGAACACTTGAGTTGAATCGAAAAGCGTGGATGTGTGGGAGGGTGGGTTTGGGTGTGGGTGGGTGAGAGGTGATTGTGTGTGTGTGTGTGTGTGTTCGTTTGTTCATTTCTTTAAGTATGTGTGTGTGTGGCTAAGATTAGGTATGGACGGCTGAGGTTTTTTTAGGTATTCCTTTTCCGATCGAGTCTCTCGTAGCTCAGGCTTCGTGAAGAACGTGCTGCTGCTGAAAGGGCTCGTGCTTTGGCTTTGGCCAGTGGTTCTTCGTAAGTCTTGATGTCATAGATTGATCTGATTGAAATTGGAGTTCACATTCCCATGGTAGTGTGTAATGAAGGACAAGAGGCGATTCGGGCCATTGACGGTCCGGTCTCGGTGGATTCAGATGAAGACGTGCCCCCTGCTCCAATCCCGGTGGCTCGATCTGTTCCTGTGGACAACCAGGAGACGCAAGCCTTCACCCTGGATACACAGGTGGTGCTTGAGCCTATCTTCCAGGAAGAGCACAAAGCCTTAATGGAATCCCCTGTCCCGCTGGCTCGCAAGCTCTTCCCGGAGAATGAAGACACAGGGGCAGGGGAGCCGTCCGTGCCAGCAGTTCCAGTGCCTACGGAAAACCTTTCCCCCCAGACAAACCACACCCCGTCGCCATTGCCCGCCGATCACAAGTTCCTGGAGTTTTCTCCACCGAAGGTCCCTTTGCCATCAAATATGTGAACCCAAGCATGTAGTCAGGTATGTTGAGTAGGTGTGTCGATTGAGTGCATGCATGCTCGCTTTCAGTGAATGTTGCTACTGCATGAGCATTGTGGTTGAACATAGTGTTCGGAAGCTTGTGCCTGCAGGTGATTACACGAGCCGATCAACTTGGTTTGAAGAGGGACCGCAAGGAGGAGGGGAACGAGAATGACGACAAGGATGCTGCTCCCAAGCGCAAAGGACGACCACCTGCTCGCAAGGGGAAGGGACGGGGCCGAGGACGATCAGCAGGGAAGAAGGGTCCCATGAGAGAGCAAGCCTCATCCTCCAAAGATGTGCCGAAGATGGTTGCAGTCAAGCGGGCACACGAGTGTGAGCCCGAGCCATCTGCGCCGGTTGGGGTTGAGGAGGGGACTGTGCCCAAGCCCAAGACCAAGTCTGGTAAAGGGAAAGGGAAGAAGGCCAAGCATGGAGGGTCAGATTGTGCTGATGGCCGCCCAGCTATGCTGGCTGTTCCTGTGCCTGAGGAGGTTGGCAACGATGATGATGTGGGCTACTCGACCCCTGTTTGGACAGGGGATGGTGAGAACAGCCGCCCTTCTTTGGCGGTGTGCTCTGCAGAGACGGGTTCTGCTGCAGCACCCGTGAAAAAGCAGGGAAAGAAGATCAGGCGCAAGCGATCCAAGGCAGTGTGTCATGCTGTGAATGATGGAGAAGACAATGAAGAGCATGCCCCACACCCGGTGCCGATGGAGGTAGAGGAAGCCCCAGCTCTTGACCTGGACGTAGAGTTCAACTACCCCAAGACCTTTGCAGGCCGACCGTGTCCGCAGATTGAGGGCAACAAGGGCTGGCTGTTGTGGCGACACATCGTGCGTTCCTTTATCGAGATCATTCGCCCCAACATCCTGGATCGATCCCGCACCCGGCGTGAGGCTTCAGGGTTCATGCACCATAGGATCAAGCATCTGTAAACCATGTGTGATGTGCACTTGTATTCGTAGTACGTTATTTTTGCATTCAGTCACATAGCCCTTGGCCCTGTGCAGTACGAGTACTGGCTGCGAGCCAAGCTCGCCTTTGACGAGGATGACTCAGTGACGACCACTGCAGACTTCAAGCGGTTCTTCCTTGTGCAAGCAGAGCTCTATGTTCAGGAGGAGCTGATTCCTGATTTGCAGGCCTGCACACATCTACTTATGCATGCGACCACATCTTTTCATGTAGTCCCTCACTCGTAGTGCATGGGACATGCTAGCATGTTTGTGTGCGTTACACGACCTTGTGCAATCCCTATTTTACATTGTGTGTGTGTGGTGCCCTAAACCCGTGGCCCTGAACACTAGGCCTACTGCACAACCTTACACCATCTTTTCGAATGGATTGGTTTAGGGACTTAGGGTTTAGATCATAGGTAGGACCGATCGATGGTAAAAGATATGCATGCATAGGTTAATTGGTTTACATTAGAAACCTTATACATCTTTAAGTCTAAATCTAAAACTACCGTAATTTCTAAACACCAAGGCCTGTAACTTATTTGACTTAATTATGCTCAGCTAGCTCTAGAACCTGCCGCACACAGGTCGGACGCGAGTGGTACTACGATCCCGATGCCTCTGAGTGAACCTTTGGATCGAGATGATACCAAATTTTGATTTGGATGCTGAGATTAGCAAACAATCGTAGCATACAGTTCGGATGAGCTGTTTTGGGATGGGGCGGCAGCACCTCGAGAAAGTGGGGCCAAGGCTGCTTAGAAAGGGTTCTGGGGAATCTTTTGTGGCCTTCCGGCTTCGCTGCTAGTCGGTTTGCTGTCTGTCAGCCAGACTCTGGCGATTTCAATCATAGATCTTTGGCTCTGGGAGCCAGCTTCACGAGCAGTGTGCCAACACGCTGCGGAAAAAATATGTATGTCTCTCTGCAACAGTCACCACAGACTTCTGCATTACTGACTTCCACTCCAGCTCTTCGCAAGCAATACAAGTGATCTTTACTTTTCTGTTCTGAAACCATAACCCGTCTGGGCAGGTCGGTCCACTTGGAGCGGCACAATGTCGCTGAAGCGGAAGCGAGGCCTCTGCAGGGCAGGTGCTGTTATGTCCCAAGCTGAAGTTGAAGCTGCTGGGGGTTGCCCAGGCATGTTTAACGAGGTTTTGCCAGTGCTGAGACAGCATGTTGTTGCAGCCAGTGCTCCTTCCGATGATGTGTTGCTGCGCACATATCTCAAAGATCGAAGCAGGAGGGCAGCTGTTTTGCAGGATCAGCAGCCTTACTCTGGTAGGTACATGCAACACGGACTTGCCAGCTTCAGAGGATTGTGTGGTTCTGTTTATTACAAGTATGTCAGCTTCTCTGTTGGTTGGAATATTACAGCCACCATGCCTCGCCCGAGCGAAGACTTCCTGGTGCCACGGCTTTTCCACCTCGGTGCGCCAAAAGCACTCTGTCCAAGTTCTTAATGATATCAGGGTTTGAACCTAGCGCCTAATTTAGTTCTATAAACCAACATAGTCGTTCCCTGCACTGTCGATCTAAGGTATTCGTTCTCTGTGTCCTCTTGGTGCTGTGGAATACAGATCTGTGGCGTCAGCAGGACATATGTGTCGATAGGCAAATAGCAGCTCATACCATACATATTTCGCACACACGCATCCACAGGAGCCATTCGACTTCATTGAGCACTTCTCGGGGAAGGCAATCTTGGCAACTGCGGCTCAACAGGCTGGCTACAATGTGTGCAGCATTGACAAGGTTCAATCTTGCGGGATGGATATCCTCAAACCTTCTGGTTTCGGGTGGCTTCGTTTGCATCCCCATAATCTCAAAAAGGATTTGTAGCTGTTGACCTTGAGACCTAAGACCTAAAGGCATGCATGCATATAATTCTTGTACACCCAGAACATTATATAATTCAACCAACTATGTGTAGGCCCCATAAGCTTTAAAACTGAAGTTATATGCATGCATGCATCTAAAACCTCAAAGCCATACTTTCTTTCAACTTGCCGTAGAAAGTGAGTACACACTCTAGAGTTTGCCAGCAGTGGTTTGCCAAGGACATTCATAATGTCGGTGCTCAACGGCCGAGCTACAGGATTCCTTGACTGGCTCGGACCCCTGTGTTCCATGTGGGTGGATATGAGTCGAGGAAGTACGAAACGATCTTGGTGCAACCCCGAAGGATGGTCGGATTATGATTCAGTGTCTCAGGGGAACTTAATGGTTGCCCGGTGTCTCGACTTCTGTGCGCATACCTCCTTCTGTGTGACTGGTATGCTTCAACAACCGTAGAAGCCCTAAGCCCTAAACCCCATAAAACTTAAACCCTAAAGGCCCTAAACCCAACAGCCTAGGTGTGCCTTTTTGTGCCTCCTCGTCGTAGCTGCTGGTGGCAACTTTATTCTGGAGCAGCCAAGTTCGAGTTTGATGTTTAGACACGATAGAATGCGCTGGCTATGTCAGAGATTAACAGTTCCTTGTCGCATCACGTTAATGTAAGGATGCACACAGAAATCGATCGTGTTAGATTTATAGGGTTGTGCATGTGCTTGTGGGTTCCAGCCCCTTGCAAGGTCTACAAAGTTTCCTTTTGGATGGGCTGTTACAAAGCCCCGACACCCAAGCGCACAACTCTCTGGTCGAGTACTTCGATGATAAGAGGCTTTTGGTCCAGAGCCTTCGAAGTTGCAGAGTATCGTGCTGAACGACAGAAGAAAACTAGCAAGGTATTGAAGACGGTGCACCGCTACAAAGATGCTAATGGTCGAAGCTGCTTCACTGGGACAAAGGAGCTCAAGACTACACAGCAACTTAGCTACAGAGTATAAGAACCATCTAAACAACCCAGCCCGGTTCAGCCTCAAATCGAGAAACTCTATCTAGCTGGTTACAACAAACCCCTCAACAAACAAGTCCTGGTTCGAAGCCTGAGAAAATGTAAATGTATTTCAGCAGCCCTTGAACCTAAAACCATATATATAAAATGAAGGCGTTTTATCCAATTCCAAACCAAAGCCAACACAACTCCTGAAACCCTAAACCCAATCCCTAAACCCCAACCTTAATCCAAAACCCCAAAACTCCCTAACCACCTTAAAGCTCACCCGAGTGTTCCACTCTGCTCCAATCCAGGATCTATCCGCTGGCCCTGGGCACACGATTGGTTGAAATCTTTGCCCCCTTGCAGACTGATGTGCCGCCAGTCTGGTTTCAAGGGGATACCGATGCACTTCAGATGTTCAAGAATGCAGGATTCGAGGACACTTGTTCAGACGCACAGCTTCGGGAGGTGGTCATTTATCTTCGAGGCTGCAAAGGCTTGGTTATTCCAGACAAGTGGAGACCGGTGTTGCCAACTTCATTGTAGATATTTGCATGCAAGTCTTATTGTGCAGGTTCGGCAATTCGAAGGATGCCTTTCTCAGGGCACCAGTTTGTGTGGGACGGCTACAGTTTTCGGTCAGAAATAGGATGGTACATCTGTCATCTAGTCCCGACTATCATAATCGATCTTAAATGGGCTACACGGGTAAGTTCGTGTAGTCTGGTAGGCCTACATATATACATACGGGTCGAAATACTTAAACTAGCTAGCTTGTATCCTTATACCAAGGCCCAAAACCTCCCTGATGTATTGAAACCCACCCCTTTCGATGCTGACCCTAGACAACCCAAACCTATAGAAGTGACCTCCAGCCCAACAGGTATGATGTGTGTCTAAGAGGGGATAGGTCCATCTTATGCATTTGCATATATACAGATCATGCGATAGCTCTGTATATGTTATTTTGATCAGGGAGGACCTGAGCTAGGCTGTAAACCCTTAACCCCAACCCTAAGCGCAAGCACGCCTTTATGTTTTAATCCCGAACACAATACTCGACACAGTCTTTTCGTCCCTTGGCATCATCCACCCGAGAACCGACCTGGACTAAAGCCTCAGCTACATAAGCCTCTGGCCCGAAACTAGATTGCTACACGTTCGCCGTAAGTTCGGTTTAGCAGACTGATGCAGAAAGCCGAGATCCCCATGCAACAGTGGCCACCACTTGTACAGTTCTAGAACCAATCAGCAATTCGGCTATGATCGGACCACTCCCAAATCCCCAAAGTCAAAATTGGCCGCTCTGGTTGTTGATCTGCCTCGATGATCCAATGGCATCCGAGATGACACCTGGGTATGGCTGGGGTGCATTGCATGGGTTTGAAGTGCCTATAGCCATCCTGGGGATTGTTCGGTTGGGTGTTTAGGTTTCTGAAGTTCTTGGGTTCGCTTGCTAGAGATCGAACTATCTCTAACTATTTCAAGATCAAAGTGTATCTAGGCTGTCGGTGGCGTAGCTAGCAGACTTTCTTTGGCAGTCTGGCTGCTTCTGAATAGATGTTTATTTATAAGCCCGCACTTAAGGTTTTATGAGGCTCCTGCTTTTGCCTTTACATCGAGGTAAATGATGTTAGGGGTCCAGTGTGTCGTTTGCCCGGGCAATGTTTTGCTGGTTACAGTTTCTGCTGTTGAGGACAAAGGATTGAATAAACCTTGGGGTGTATGTGTTTCTGATCTCAGCTGAGGACTTTTGGGTCCTTTTGGTGTGGTTTTGGTGGTTTTAGGTGGGATTTTCGTGGTAATTTGATGGTTTTGTTGGTTTTAGAGGGCCTTGCGACCGTATTTCCTGCCAGCACACCCATATTTCCTTGGTGCACGCCCGTATTTACCCGTATCTACCCATATATCCCTGAAGTCACAACCGTAGTATTTCCCACCTGCGGCCGTATTTGGACCCAGGGCACGACCATATTTACCCGTACAGAAGGCGTACAGAAGGCGTACAAATACCGTACGGATCCGTATCTGGGCCTCGCTTTGACCCTATGTTCCTGACCTGCCTGGCTAACCTACCCATGGCTGCTCTGAGTCGAGATTTTGTGGTCAGTTGTGTCGACCTAAACGCATTTTAGGTGAGACTTTGGTCTC